CCTTGGCGAGCAAGTTCCTCCATATATTTAGTGTAGTCATTTTTGGAAGAACTACCTTTTTTCTTTGATGCTTGTTTACCTTGAGGCCTGAGGGACTGACGAGTCGGTTAGGTCTCCAGCACTTCTTCAGACGTCCCTTCTGTGTCTTCAAATGTGTTGGCTTCTTGTTTGGCCGTGTCCGCTTTTGGCGAACTGTGTAGACCCATACTGTGCATGACAACTTCTAGACCGGTTGCCACAATTTTGTATCTAGGGCAATCTTTGACAATTTGCCAACATTCCCATTTGTTGAATGATTTGTTACGGTTCTTTGCATTGTAGAATGCTTGTGCTTGTAGCTATAAAAATGTGGGATAAGATAATATTAAAAAGTATGGGTGTAACACAAATAAATAAATTAAAATATTGATGCGTGTGGAATGCATATAAATTACATAAGAAATTACATAAAAATTGCATAAGAAATTACATAAGAAATTAAATAAATTAAAATATTGATGTGGGTGGAATGCATATAAATAAATAAAAATATTGTTACCTGATCCGCTAAACTTGTCCCACTACGCAGATTACCGGAAGCATGAAAGATGGCATTTTTCCAACAAGTAAAGGATGCGTTGAGTTTTTTCCAACGACCTTGAAGACCTTGACTAGATCTGGCATCTTTTCCATGTACATCGCAAAACGGTTTCGTAATTTTACTCCACATTTCTCGCTTATCCATCTCATTACCCGTAATCAGGTCATGAGTAGTGTGAACCCAACATTCACACAACGTAACATCTTCAATGAGCTTCCACGAAGTCATTTTTTTCTCTCAAAGTGTACAAAATATTCAAATGTAGAAAGTGTAGAAAATGTAGAAAATATTGAAATGTGGTGTAAGGTGGAAGATGAGGGTTAGATATTTATAGAAAAAAAATTAATTTTTTAAAATTTTTCTGTATTTGAAAAAAAAAATTCATAATTTTTTAATACATTTTAATGTTGTTAATTAATCTGGACCGTTGGATTTGAAAAATATTCAAATCCAACAGCCAACGAGCTGCCACGTGGCCAACGGTCAAAATTTTGACCGTTGGGCCTTTTTTTTTTTTTTTTATTTATTATTTTTTTTATTTTTGGTGAAAAAACGTGGACCGTTGACCTGTGATCGAAAGGTCTATTTTAAAAGTCAAATTTAAATTTTTTTTACCGTTGGAAATCCAACGGTCTACAAAAACTAGCCGTTGGAAATCCAACGACAATGAGGAGGGCCACATAGCCCTCATCCGGGTGAACACAAGTGGGCTGACAAGCGGGCCTTGCTACCTGCACCCTTGTCTCCTACTCGCGCCCAGTCGCGAGTGTGCTGCACGTGCCAGCCAAATAGGCCGGCCTCTGGGTCTGTCCGAAATGGGCTGCTCTGTTGCCTGGCTTGGGCTGGGTGCCAGGCTGTTTTGCGGGCTGGAGCACTTTGACAGGGTGCTGGCCTCACTTTTTGACAGGGTGCTGGGCTATTCCACCTCCAGTGGAACTGCTCTTAAATCCTGGAATTATTTTTTGGGCTTTCTAACCGATCCAACCCAATTAATGTCGAGTGGGTTGGGGAGATTGTAGTCAGTAGCTTAGGTTTTTTTTTGTTAGTTAAACTGTGTGTGAAACGAATGCAAATCTTGCTAATTTAATGAGAATTTCCCGTATTATGAATAAAAATTACATGTCAAATTTAAGATTTTCTAAATTATTTGTGGCTCTACAACCCGCATTAACATCCCGTGCTTCTCTCCTTGATGACTAACTTTTCGTAAAGCAGTAGGTTTCTCGAGCTCCCAACTTACGGCGGAAAACTGGAAAAGGTTGTCCCTGTTCGTATAGGCATAGAGCTTTAGTTTGGTTCACCAAGAAAAAGAAAAGGAAATGTTTAGCCCATAGCTTATGAGCTCCTCAGTCCCTCATTCAAAAAGGCTTTTATCTTTTTTTTTAATATTATTTGTTTAATTTGTTAAGGAATCATTTAGTTTTAATAAAAAAAAATAACACACATTATATTGTTAGTTTGCTACCTACTCATAGTGGGTAGGGCGTTCTACTAATCCAAGTAGTTTAATGTGTGCTTAAAGTAATCTCACAACATCATATGGTGGCAAACAATTTTCAAACACCATATTTCACTTGGCTTAGGCTTAATCACTTTAATGCACTATTTAGATACAAACATATGCGCGAAGCTCGGCACACACATTATATTGTGATTGAGCAAACTAATGAGCTTCATGCAAAATAAAAATAATCAAAATGACTCGTTCAATAATAATAATAATATCTGCTTGTCGTAGAAGTCAAATAATTCGACCTTGCTCAAACAAAAATGAATCTATGTATTTTTGCTTCTTCCTTCTCAACTCGTGGTTCCACTCATTCAAGAGAAACAACATGCAGTAGACGTACACAATATTCCATCTCTACATATAGACACAAAGTAAAAAATAATCAAAATGACTCGTTAAAAAAAAAAAAAAAAATTAATATGCGCTTGTTGTAGTCTTATAGAAGTCAAATAATTCGACCTTGCTCAAACAAAAATGAATCTATGTATTTTTGTTTCTTCCTTCTCAACTCCTGGTTCCACTCATTTGAGAGAAACAACATGCAATGGACGTACACAATATTCCATCTCTACATATAGACACAAAAATTCATCATTCATTTGTATTTCTATTAATAATTCAACCTGATTACGACTGAAATTTAGATTACGTTCATTCTTAATGGATGATATTCAAGTAATACAATCCATCATGCATGCACCTTCATTTGGCTAGGGTTTCCCCTTTAACGAATTTTGCTATCGATCTAGGCTGTAGGAGATATTATGCATAAATCATTTTTTACAATGTACACATTGCAATCATAACCCTAGCTCATGCAACTTCTACTTCTCACTTTCCAACTTTCCAACTTCTCAATGTTTATTTTCCAAAACATTATTCGGAGTTCCCTTCACGCTAATAATTTGGTCTATTTGGTCACCTATTGAAATTCCAGTCCGTTGGGAATTTCCAAGTTCAAGTCTATTCAAAGTGAGGCTTTTATCAAGTTCTTAATCAAATTGCTGAGAGATTTTTTAATGTGTCCGAAACATGGATGGTACACCATATGTTTTTATATAAGTAGAGAAATTTTTTTTTTTTTAAAGTGTCCCTCCATTTATACAATGACATAAAACATATGTACTCATGTTCCATGCACACTGAAAAATCTTTCAAAATTGAGAGATCTAGAGAGACAAAATAAATATTGGCGTGCTCCTCAACTATTTTCTTTTGACTATATATAATCTGACGGTCATATCGTCCATTTCTAATCAACTAACTTTTAATCGCACCGGAGCTAAGTTTGCCGAAACAAAAAACTGCATAAAAATTACCATTTATACATAAAGTTTCATTTAAGTCGAGGGAATTGTTATTAGCATTTCAAAAATCTCATTTTACACTTCAAACTTTCTATATTAGGAAAGAAAAATACACTTGTGAGGAGTATAGAATGTGATTTTTAGAATGCCAATAACACTTCCCTAAGTCGAGCCAATATACTCGTGGCTCAAACAGCTATTTTACACCCAATCGATTCTTCAATTTCTTCTCATACCAACATATATTCTCTTAAAATGGACCCCCAACTCAGATTTGCTGCACCCATCGTACATTACACATTACAGATACACCTACCTAGCAATCCCACTTGGCCACAAATCAAATGATGCATGTGGACTCATTCTTGTCACCAAATGTGTGTGTGTGTGTGTATTATTCCTGTGGTCTTAGTACTCATACTTCGAGAAAATTGTGGTCACTCGCCGTTTAATTTTAATTCAACAATAAAAAAAAAGTACAACAACAAAATTAAATGACAACATACCGTCAAATTAAAATCGAGCAGTAGGAGACAAATTTTACTCAGACTATGGGGTATGGAGTACGAATCTATTTACATGTCTTAGGGTGGCGGAGTAGGATTATCTCCCCTCTTATTCCTATCATTTTCCCTTCCCTCCTCTCACACTTTTTTTTGTCATTTTGTCCTTATAAAAAAGCAATATATGATATTGACGTGGCTTAATCGTAACTGTTCAAATAGAAGGGGAGGGAAGGGGAGATAGATTAAGAGAGGAGAGAATCCTCCTCCTAGGATGGCATGATTAATAAAACCGTAACTGGTCATTGGATCACTTGTGGGTCCCACCAAGGAGGGATCCAACATTCCAACTCATGGAGAGATTTTTTAAAGTGGACAAAATATGTGGCGTAATACTATATATTATTATACAATTCAAGAGACACTTAAAAAAAAAAATTCCCTCCAACTATTTAATGACATGTGGTATTTCGTCTCGTGTTCCAGACATACTGAAAAGTCTCTTCAACTAGATAGGCAACCTCATTGTCCACTATGCTTCCCCTCCACTAAAAATATTCGAATTTCACAATCAAATTATTAATAAAAAGAAAACGTATCAAATTATTATGCAGAGAGGATGGAGAGAGCAAATGCTGTCTCCACTGGGAGGGTGGGTGCGTGAGAGTTTATCAATTGTCACATGACTGTTGGGACGTATAGGTAAACAGAAAATATTTTGGGGGAGATTTTTCAAATTACTACCTGAATTTTTTCAATAAAATATAAGTACTTGAGATGCAAAACTGAATTTTTTTTTTTTTTTTCCAATGCAGTTAACCTTCGGAAAACTGAATTTTAGTTGTATTCAGGTAAATGTTGAGATTTTATAATATGTTTTGAGGACCGGAAAACCTTATATACTAAGGTTTTTATTGTTAAAATTTTAGTCAAGGATGTAATAACAACCAAAAATTAGTAGAACTGTAAGTTTACATGTGAAAATTTGAAAAGATTTCTAGGTACCAATTGGAATTTAAGAACACGTATTGGATGAATGTGGTCAATGCGTAAACAATATTTTATTATTGTGGCATTATTAAAAGGTTGCATATATTTTACTTGACTGTAAATCAAAACAGGTTTCCCGGTTTCCGGTCAGGACAGAAAAAGGGCACTTTGAAGCAAGTGAGAAGCCGATAACTGGTTTGGACTTTTGGAGGCTTTTTGCCGTAACGGACCTGTTCTGCAATGTCTCTTCAACCAGGTTACTCTCTCTCTCTCTCTCTCTCTCTCTCTCTCTCTCTCTCTCTATCAGCAGTGTGTGAAAAATGTGAGTTCTTAAGTGCGTTTTCTTATTAGTGTTTCAGAAAAACTTGAGCTTGAACTTGCATGGTTGTTCTGGTATATGGGTTTGCTCTAGTTGCAAAAGTATGAATCTTTGTGTTTTATGGGATTTATTTATTTTTTGCCTTTTTTTTTGGAGGGGGGGGGGGGGGGGGGTGGGGTGGTGGGTGCGGGGGCGGCGGGGGGTGGGGTGGGGTTTCAATCTTACTGGTGAAGAACTTTTGTATTTAGTATTGAATGTTAAGGTATTGGCTTTGTGTTAGAACACATAAAATTAAGGTGGTGGGTGATTACATATGCGTTGTTTGAAGTGTAAATTTATTTCTGGATTTATTTTTGTTGCCAAATTTGAGAAATGGGATTAATTTAATGATGTTATCCCCCCAAAAGAAGTAAATTCATGAATTTTACCAAATGGGATTTAAGCAAGTTATCTTAATTTGATCAGTTAGTGGTATGCAGGAGGTGATTGATGTCGATTATCGAATGTTGCCGTTCGCACAAAGTAAATGAGTTTATATTTTCTCCAACCATGTTGTCCACCATGAGAGTATGGCTAGATGATTTTTTATGTCGATTTTGAGCACGGGTTTTTCCAGAGGGCTAAATGACGATAGCTTTGTTCTAAGAACCACACTAATTAACATGCTGAATTTTTGTGACATTGAGGGTTGAGGATACTATTGAGGTTGCGTGGTATGGCCACAGCCAACAACAATGAGACTAGGCAGCCTTCGATCCAATTCTGCAATTCTTACAGAGTGGCAAGCCTTTTCGACACAATTCTGGAAGCAACCCAAGTGGCAGATTTGAAAGACCGGTATATTCTAGGTGAGGAATTGGGATGGGGACAGTTTGGTGTCATTAGGGCATGCTCGGATAAGTTTACTGGTGAGGTTTTAGCTTGCAAGTCTATCGCCAAAGATAGATTGGCCACGCACAATGATGTGCGCAGCATCAAGCTTGAGATTGAAATATTGTGTAGGTTGTCTGGGCACCCGAATGTTGTAAATCTAAAGGCAGTTTATGAGGAGGAAAATCATGTGCATTTGTTGATGGAGTTATGTGCTGGAGGGGAGCTTTTTCATCGGCTTGAGAAGCAGGGAAGATTCTCAGAAACTGATGCTCGGGTTCTTTTTAGACATCTGATGAAAGTTGTTAAGTATTGTCATGAGAACGGTGTTGTTCACAGAGATTTGAAGCCGGAAAACATTCTCTTGGCTACAACTTCTTCATCCTCACCAATTAAGTTGGCAGACTTTGGCCTTGCAACCTACATCAAACCCGGTGAATTTTCATTTTAATCTCAATTTTGTACCCCATTCCTTCTGTTTAGATTTTTCTACTAGGCTTAATTATCTGTCGCGTTCTAATCACCTCGGTGTTTGTATCAGCAGGGCAGAAACTGCATGGGACTGTTGGAAGTCCATTTTACATAGCTCCGGAAGTACTTGCAGGAGGTTATAACCAGTCTGCTGATGTATGGAGCGCTGGAGTTATTTTATACATACTTCTTAGTGGGGTGCCTCCTTTCTGGGGGAAGACTAAGTCAAGAATTTTTGATGCTGTAAGGGTTGCAGATCTGTGGTTCCCTCCCGATCCTTGGGGTCACATATCTGCATCTGCGAAGGAATTGATCGCTGGAATGCTTTGCATTGATCCTTTCAGAAGGCTCACAGCTGCACAGGTTCTAGGTACATCATTGCATCATTGTTATATTGTAGCCCGTACCCCGTACCTGTAGTAATTACTAAAACATTCTATATCAGTTCTCTTTATTGAGAATCTAAACTTGTCACTAAGGATATGATTCAGATATATTTTATGATAATTGAGGCTTTCCAAACACTTTAGATTAGGCCATTAATCCTATCCCTTGGGAGCGATCACAATTATGCGAATTTGAAAATTTTCATAAATACTTTTAACTCTTTAGGAGGGGGGTGTATGGTTATAGAATCTCATCTGCACGCCATCAATCCACAAGTTCGTCAATCTTGAGTTGTAACGTGCTGTCACAAGTTAATGCAGTTTTTTGTTTCCTGTAACCAGCCAACACAAGAATTCAATCCTCCCAAAACTGCCCACGAAAAGTCATCACGCATGTCTTTTAAATTGCTAAAATATTGATTCTAGACGTTTATTCTTAGTTTCGTTCATAATTATGTTTGATATGCAGCTCATCCATGGATGGAAGATCATGCATATGCGAGTCAAGAGACACACAAGCTGGACAATCAATTTCGCAAACAGCTGGAAGTGGGTGGAGGTTCTTTCTCTACACCATTTATCTATACGAATCAGAACTTCAGCTTAGATGATGGCTCACCCACAGCTGGTGATGTGGAACTGTGGCAATCACCTGCATTCACATGCAAATCATCTTCGTCAGGTTTCCTAGTTGACAACGCTAGTCTTTGCCCTGCATCTGGAGGTTTTTCTTTTAGCAGCTGTTATGAATCAAGTCCGCTGGAGTTTTCTTCACCAGTTCCATCGATGCCTAGCTTTACCTTCTTCGGTCCAAGTTCTGCGGTAGAGCAAAGAAACATCACGTTAAGATTTAAAACCAACATGGCGACATTAGATACAGCGTACGTAGGTATACATTTCTTATTCCCTAGCTTGTTTGTTTATTCGAAGCTGGCTGCAAATTAGGTACGTTGTTGCTAAAGTGACTAATCAACTGTTTTATCCGTCCTTAAAATCCTTAATGGGGTTATTTCTTCGGAGAAACGCAGAGTCAAGCGTGGAGAAGCTAATTGTGCTGACAGATTGCTCAGCTGTCAAGTGTGACGGTGGAGAAGTAGAGCGCAAAGAATTTTGGAGAGGCGGAACAAACGGGCCTTCTAGGGTTGCTGGAATCCACAGCAAGAGGAACAACACGATTGGACTTGGCGAGCTTGATCAGCTTAATCTGGCTGTAACCGAATCAGTCATACGTTGGGCGTCATGCACGCATATCCCTACTGTCCCATCGCTTAGATTGTCGCTCGTCTGCTAGACCGGTTAAGCGTATGAAACAGCCGTTGAGGCACACGTAATTCACACCATGTAATGTAAAATGAGAGAGACACAAAAGCCTTGTGGTGTAATGGAGGGGTCATGCTTTTCTACTTCAAGTAATTGCTCCACTGTTTCTTGTGATCATTCCGCAACTAGCCATTTGTCTAAAACTAAATTTCCTCGTTAACAAATCAAAACAAAAATAAAAGTACACTTGATAACCGCCGGGTGTTGGATGCAGTGGCGGTGGCGATGGTTAAAACCTAGTTCCGCCAATGGCTGCGGTGGCCGTCGTGGTTTAGTATACAATGAGAGCTCCAAGATCAAGCATTTATCTCCAAGTGTAGATATACATATCAGAATCCCTTGCCTTCTTCTCTCCAGTTAGCAAGTTGCAACATTCTGTAGAATGACAGCAAAAACCTTGCACATGAACATCGTTATGCAAGTAAAAACAAGTGGATAACAAGTAAAAGGCGAACATCTCAGCCGAAAAAAATTACATGCGGAACAATCAACGACGAAAACGGTGAAAAATTGATGCATATATGATCCAACAATTGTCAGGTAAATGGGATAAAGTGGATAAATAACAACTTTGATAGGTATTTTGGTGATACAAGATTGCTAGCTTCTTAAAACACACTAATTTTATTGAGTCTAACATCAAAACTGACCCTGCTCGATTCGGAGCTTCAAAAAAGAGCCAGCTAAAAAAATTAAAATAAGAGTGAAGAATAAAAATATTTCCAGTAGTACACGATTACGTAGTTGTAGCTCACGGTACTGCAACTGGCTTTCAGGATGCAGGGGCATATTCTTGGATTGCTGTGGCCAGTTTATTTCTATCCTCCTCTGTTTTCAACCTGATTAAGAAGGTACGCGCCACGACATTCCCATCACTGTCGCCCTACAAAATCCAAGAGAAATTGCACATATTGTCACATGATATGAACCACAAGTTAAAACATACATGCTTCACGGAGTACCTAGCATCATCCTAAATTACGTACAAGGCAATTAAGCCCCACTACTGAATAGGATCCTACCATATTTCTTCTTCTTAGATTTAATTAACACATCAAATTCTTTAATCAAACCCACCATGACACAAACTACAATTTCAAATTTCCCTACTGAATGTGCGTATTTCTCTCAGATCTATGAGGATAAAACTAATCAATGAATCAAGTAACAACTACAGAATCCCAGAGAAAACAATCAAGAGTATTTTTGGCAGCTAAACCGCTCAATATAGCCTTTTTGTGGGCCAGATGTTTAATTGATAGTCGTCTAACCCTGCTGTATTTTTTTTTTCTTTGTACAGTTAAATTGACCAAAAATTCTAATTAAATATCAAATACCAGCATTGTCTTACCGCAGTATGAAATATTGCAACAAGGGAATTCTTCTGTACATTCGTCTTAATGCCAGAATATAACAAAGCATTAAGCTGCACTCTTCCCACCTGCCATCAGTAAAGAGAATACAAAGTGAAACTTCTGCTGAAGACATACATGACTTTTAAATGCAACGACTTCAACAACGAAAAGGGACAACAATAATAGAAAAGATTAATCTTTAAAAGAACAACGAAATGGGAATAAAGCTATAGAAATGAAGATTTTCTTGTTCTCTCAAACAAAAGCAAATCCAATAATTACATCCCTTTGCCAACATACCACACTTCTGAAAGCACACAAGAAAACTAAAAAACAAGAGTTAATGTGTCAGACTGCATTATAATACTCAAAACCATATGTCTAGAAGGAAACATACATCATTTCGAACAATGATTGTTGGTTTTGATTCTTTTGTACCCTTGCTGATACCCTCTTTGCATTTAATAGATAGCTGCCCCGTGCCTTTATCTTTCCATGCATCTTTATCTGCTGGATCACTTGACTGGAATATCCGAAAGAAAAATGGTGTTAAAATCAGTGAGAATGTGGAAGCTACAAATGACGCTTGGCATGTACAATCTCAAGTTACAGATGTGAAACAGATGTAAATTGCATCACAAAAATTTCCAAGGGAAAATTGGTGCAGCATGTGCTTCAAATGTGGCCCAGTCTACGCCACTTCAGCACTTAGCGTCTAATTAGATGGGGAAACTAACAGAGGTGCTGCAATTCAGAAACCACGCGGTGTAATGTGCAAAAACTAAAACCTCGTATTCATTTCGCAAATGACCCCCAAACCTTGTAGTGTAAAATGCAGTCCAATTTCTAAAGGATGAGACTGTCCCACCTTATTTATTTGTATGCTTCTTTTCTTTTGTTGGAAACCGATACAATACCGGACAATAAAATATTAGCATCGGCAACTGCAGTACAGGAGTTGAGATTACGAAATGCATAACTTAACCCTGATGCAGCAATCCACATGTGTAAGTCTACCAATGTGTATTGTTTAAATACTGTATTCTGTACATATGCAAATGGATATGTCTTGCATGATAACATCTTCGTATAACTCATACTTGGAAAATCTAAGGGAGGTATCAATAAACCGATACCATCACGCATGTTTATAAACTTTGAACGAAAAAAGATCAAATGCATGGAAAAGAAAAAAAAAAGATCAATTACAAAATTTGGAAATCAAGAAAGAGTTTTATTTGGTAGAGTACTAGAGTGTGAACAAATTCACAATGCTATTTATGAATGTTATAATAGAAAATATTACAAAATTTTATACGCATATACCTTCACATAAAGTTTGCACTTGACTTCATGGACAACAACAACACCCCTCTCTTCAGATTTTTCCACAGATGGGCTGCCAGGTTGCTCCAATTCATTTTCTGAACCAGAACAAGAACATTCAATACTTAAAAAGAATCAACAAGACCATATCGAGATAATTCCTAAAATTATCAGCAAATGTAACCTTCACCATTAAACTTTAACAGCTATAAACATGGCGAAGTGTTGTACAATGCAAACCCTATATGTCCACAAGCTTGGAACATGAACCTGACATGGAAGCATAAATATAATCACGTCTTGCAATTTGCAACATAGACACCCTAGTAGAAAACTAAAAGAAATGCACACTGGAGAGACAATAAATTCAAATTTAATGACCATGAAGTCATAGACGAATGAACTTCCTTCCCTTAAATTCTGAAAATCAAGAAAAGCTTCTTTAGACTGTCAGGAAAAAATACAGCATGACAGAAGCATTTGAATATGATAAGCCAAGTTGCAACAGAAAAATTATTTTGTTTAACTCCTGACTTTGCAAGTCAAGGAAGTGCCTTTATTTGTTGATAGTCTTTGAAAACAAAAACAAAACAAAGATGGAACAAAAAATAAACCAATTGTCCCATATTTCTTAAGTGAGGTGTCCTGAATGTCTCAATTTGTCCCCAGATTACTCTTTTTTGAATTGGATGTCTACGAAACATGTAGTGCTGGAGGACTCAACGCGTATGATACAGGTATATACTGATGGGTCTACATGTGCACCAATTTAAAACATAGTTATATTTTATGTTGCTGCAATAGCAGCAATAGCCTTTTAAGGTTTCAAATTAATTGACAAATTAAAAACTGAATCAAATGCCGAGCCCTTAATAAAAAGGAGCAAAAAAGAGGTGGTATTTAGCAATCACAAAGTCTTCTAACAAACTGAATTCAAACCAAACATAGGAAGCTTAAAAGCTTCACTCAGAGAAACTTTTCTATATAACAAGTTGAGAACTCATTCATCAAGACAATAGCTATAGTTGGAAGCTTAAAGCATACAAAATAAAAACAAGGCATGAAATCAAACATACATGAAGAATAAATTGAGGGAGAAAATTAACAGAAAATAAAAGCAGTGAAAGGTAAAATAGCAAAAACTTATTGTCTCACCATCATCAGCTTCATCTTGCTTTGGAGGAACTGAGCTTTGAAATCCTGGTAAGAAATTACAAAAAAGAAAATAAGGATGTCAAGTATACATCAAATTCACAGAAGTAACACTTCTCTACTAGAAAGAGTATAGCTGCTAGATTTTCAAGGGTGCCATTTCTCCTTAACATTCTATAATTCATGATATTAGTGATAAATCAATGAGAGCAAGAAAGCAAGTAACAAGTTAACTGTGACAACATAACAAGCTACTTGCTACCACTTTCAACTGGTAGATTTAACATTCTGAACTTTTTAAGAATCTACAAATTTTATCATAAATACTTCGGAAAGCACTCTAGAAGGTCAGTATTTTCTCCTAGTCAGCATACCCTAAATTACTTGTACCATGTTCTTTCTGTCCATCAAAATAATTCAACATAATTTAGGACCACCATGAAATCTGAATTTATAATTGGATCTACTATGAAATACATCAAGAGTCAAGACCATTTATAACATAAATGAAACATGTCGTTAATATGATACCTACCAAACATGGAAGGGGGCTGATTGTTGGAAGACAACCCAGGGATTTGACTGTTGGATAATAATCCAAAACTGGGAGTGTTGGAGAAAGCCGCAGAACTCTGAGTATTGGAGGACAACCCTGAGCTTTGACTGTTGGAGAAAAGCCCAAAACTGGGAGTGTTGGAGAATGCCGCAGAACTTGGACTACTAGAAAATATTCCGGAGCTTTGATTATTAGAAAATATTGCCGAGCTTTGACTATTGGTAAACATTCCAAAGCTTTGAGTTTTCTTTTGATCTGATCCAATGCTCTGACTTGTGGAAAACATTCCAGAACTTTGAGTATTGGGAAATAGTCCAGAGCTCTGACTAGTCGAAAAGACTGGTGAGCTTTGGCTGCTGAATATTCCTGAAGAGCTTTGACTGTTAGAAAATTCTCCTGCAGAACTTTGGACAGTAGGTGTTACTCCAGTGGAGCTGTGGTTGTTGGAGAAGGCACCTGCAGAGCTTTGGCTGTTGGAGAAAACTCCAGAACTCCATGAAGTTGTAAAGCTAGCAGTTGTACTAACTGGTGAAAACAGGGGTTTTGTCTGAATTAATTTCGTCTCACTATCCGTGGACACAGAACCATTTTCTTTTCAGAAGTAATACAAGATCCTGCTGCAGCCAAATTTTCTCCTTTTGCAGCATTTACTTTAAGCCAGTTAACAACATCACTGAATTTCTCCTGAAATGAGAGGGTG